TTAAAGAACACATGTGGGTCATTTTTAACATTTACTCACAATCAGGAGCCTTCGTAGCTTGTGAAAGATTCATACACAGCAAGAGCAGCTTGGCTCCTCCCCTTCCTTATGCAAGTCACCAACTTGGCTCCTCCCACTCGAGCCAAGTTGGTGACCTGCAGGAGGAGGGGGAGGAGCCAAACTGATGACCTGCAAAAGGGGGAAGAGCAAGCTTGGACCTGCAGGAGGAATGGGAGGAGCCAAGCTGGTGGCCTGCATGAGGAGTGGGAGGAGCCAAGTTGGTGACTTGCATGAGGAGTGGGAGGAGCCAAGCTGGTGATAAGAGAGAAGAGCAAGCTTGGACCTGCATGAGGAATGGGAGGAGCCAAGTTGGTGGCCTGCATGAGTGGGAGGAGCCAAGTTGGTGACCTGCATGAGGAGCCAAGCTGGTGACCTGCATGAGGAGGGGGAGGAGCCAAGCTGGTGATAAGAGGGAAGAGCAAGCTTGGACCTGCATGAGGAATGGGAGGAGCCAAGTTGGTGACCTGCATGAGTGGGAGGAGCCAAGTTGGTGGCCTGCATGAGGAGTGGGAGGAGCCAAGCTGGTGATAAGAGGGAAGAGCAAGCTTGGACCTGCATGAGGAGTGGGAGGAGCCAAGTTGGTGGCCTGCATGAGTGGGAGGAGCCAAGTTGGTGACCTGCATGAGGAAACGACTGTGTTGTAAAGGGCCTTGGGGGGTTGTAGAACCCTAGAAGGTGCTATATAAATACAGACCACTTTAACGTCACCTTTAACCTGAATATCATTCAGATGTCCGCCCAAAACTCAGTTCCTTGTTTGGGGAGACGTGCTTTTAGAGTTTCATGTTTGGCGAGGCTTTTTTAAAAGTTGAATCTAAATGCAGTCTCTTTCAGGATCTGAACTTCAAATAGTTCAGTTTGTTTCAACATTCATGAGGTTCGGCTAATGACCACTACCCTGACCCTGGTAATAAACCTCCTTTCATGGGAGGAGCCAAGCGTGCACTGGTGGTGATGAGCTACACTGTAGCCACAATGATGGAAGTGAGGCTGTCACACACAGACACCACCATCAGGCATGGAGGGGGAAGTGTCTTGATCCGGGACACAACGAGTGGGGCTCAAACTTGCAACCCGCCTGTTCTGGGGCACTTCCCTCCTCTGCCATGTCCCACTTTCCTTCCCTTGTGTCTGTTCTTGCTGAATCCTGAAGGCTGTTCTTCTCATCAAAGCTGATTTAAGGTATTTGATTCTATTTAGTAAACATTCCCGTTCTGTCCGTGGCCCAAAGAACGTCTTCTGGATTCAGGGCACGGTTCCCAGTTTTATCCGTGACTTTTATTGGTGTCTGCTTCTGACCATGTGCGTTTCTGACCGTGATGATCTCACAGTTGTTAATAATCAGCTGTTTGTTCTCCGTAGGAACACATGCTGCATCATGAGACCCCCCCCCCCCCACCTTAAAAACAAGTGTCTCCTTTAGCTGACCTTTCGTCCTCCTCCTCCTCTCTCACACTTTTACCTTCTTTCTGCCACGTCGTCGCTTTTCTTTGGAGGTTTTAGAGAAAAACAGGAAGTCCTCGTCTCTCGACCCTCTCCTTTATCTGCATTTCCTCTCTCTCTCTCTCTTCCATCTCACTATCAGTCCAATCAGCTTCATTCCTTGCTGTCTCCACCCTAACCACACTCATCCATTCTCACCCTTCCTCCCATCCTTCCATCTCCTCTCTCGCATCGGGCCGAGTGATGCTGAGGATGTTTACTTCACGCTTTAATCGGACGGCAGCTTAATGACACTTGATTGCTTGACTTGTTTAATCGACAGGGGCTGTGGGGGGACGTCTTTAAGCCAAAACCAGGAGAAAGAGTCCGATCTGTGGATGGGAGACGGGACTCTTGATGAGTTTTGATGGCCCAACAAGCAGATGATTGCATCTTT